AACCTAGAAATCAGATAACAAATAAAATACAAGTTCTTACCTCCCTGCTAACATAAACAGGAGAAAACGAACAAAACAAACAGGCACCCACCTCCCTACCAAGCTCCACTTAACAAGGTCCAGGAAGTAAGAGACCAAACGTAACAGATATCAAACACAACTAAACTGTTACATAATTCAATGATTGACAACAAATGTCTAAATTAGCGATCCTTTCGCCAACACACGTCACACAGCGGGTACAACAGTAGCCACCAAGAGAGCGGGAAGCCAACGATTCCTTCCACCGGATGGCTTAAGTACTGCGGCAATCCTTCCTGTCTCCAACCAATTCAGTCCTCCTAATCAGCTCCACCTGTAATCAATTAGAGCGAAAGAGGGAGAGACAGAGAAACACAGGGGAAGACCTATGCACGCGCACACGAACGAGTGATATGCCGTTTCTCTAGCAACACACGAATCCATTCGTAACACACCTTTTACTTGTTAAAAAAGTCTAAACTGTTAATCAGACGACAGAAGGCATGCAGTAGATTGTGTGCAACAAGTTTTGATCGTGTTGATCATTTAGAGGCCCTAGAAATATGATCTACAAATATGATAAAGTAGATCATATTTAATAGTTAAAGTTTAATAGTTAAAGTTACTTTACTTTAACTATAGTTTAATAGTTAAAGCAAACCAGGTCTGTGTGAATAACTCTACAAATGAGTAAAATGTTTAACCACTTAATCTTACCCAACAGGCCGCACAAGTGCACACCTCTGATTAATAATCACTGCCAACAGAGAGAGAGCCGGCACTGTGCCAACCAATAGACACAAGCTACGAAACACATTACGCACACTGTAAGTCTGAGGGGAAAACAGCAGACCTAATCTGCTCTAGTAAGGTCTAGACCCATCACATGATCTCACTGCAGCCATACCAGATCAGATCAATCGGTCAACTTCCACCCAATCACCCACCAGTCAGCTTCAATTAGCCACAAGGGAGCTGACCAATGACATCTAATGATGTTAACTTAAGACTCCAGCACACTAGTCTACATGAAAGTGAAAGTGACATGACATGTGGCCAAGTATGGTGACCCATACTCGGAATTAGTGCTCTGCATTTATCCCATCCAAAGTGCACACACACAGCAGTGAACACACACCCGGAGCAGTGGGCAGCCATTTTTTGCTGCGGCACACGGGGAGCAGTTTGGGGTTCGGTGCCTTGCTCAAGGGCACCTCAGTCGTGGTACTGAAGGTGGGAGAGAGCGTTGTACATTCACTTCCCCCACCCACAATCCCTGCCGGCACGAGACTCGAACCCGCAACCTTTGGGTTACGAGTCCGACTCTCTAACCATTAGGCCACGACTTCCCCGCAAATGCAAAATACTTTTACAAAATACAATACATACTTGCAGTATATACTACATGCAGCCTATGATTAAACAAACAAACAGTAGGCATTTAATTGAATATGCTGCATTGCACTGCGGTGCATGTTTAATTGAGCAAGTGGTGTCATTTGGTTATTTTGCATTTTATATATTTTTATTTATTTTTGTAAAAATGGCTTATTTTTAGCTATAAGATTAATTAAGATATTAAACACTAGGACATTGCAAATGCAAATGCAAAGTATTATATGCTATTATAAATGGTATAATCGTAATTTCAGTTAATATTATTAAAAATAAATTAATACCATAAATTATTCAATAATTATGAATTTATACATTTATAAAAATCAAATTATCAATATAAACTATAATCATAAATTATCTATAAGTACTATAAATATATTTTTTATTTAAAAATGTTTTTGCACATTTCTGTTTATATATATATATATATATGGTATTTTATGATTATAGTATATTGCACTGTTATTGAACTGAATTGAATCAACACTGAACTGACTTGAGCTGAATAATGACACTAAGCTGAATAATTGTTTTCTGTTGAATGGCTTTATGGTTGAGTTGGTTTCATAATTTTGCAACATTAACATTTACTTTCATGTTTATTACTACGAAGCTGCTTTGAAACTATCTGTATTGTAAGTATAAAATGCTATATATATACTGCTAAATATATATATATATATTTACTGCAAAAATAGCATTACGGTTGTGAAGAAT